GAAGACTGGAGTAATGATGCTGAAAATTCAGCTTTGTGTCACAGGAAAAATTATATTTTAAAATATATTACAGTAGAAAAGGTTATTTTAAACTACAACAATGTTTCACAATATTACTGTTTTTTTCTGTAATTTTGATCAAATAAATGCCCTTGGTGATCATAAGAAACTTCTTTAAAAAAAAACATTAAAAAAAAATCTTCCAGATCAGCAGTGTGTATATATATATATATATATATATATATATATTTAATTTGACATAAAAGATGACATACTTTTAATAAAGTTAGAAAAATGCCATTACAAAGGTAAAAACAAAATTCCCTGTAAATCACTTTAAGGAGTCAAATATCACCTCCTAATGGGAAGGTACATTTTTTTATCAGAACTTTTGATTACTGATTAGAAGGTGCTCCTAAATTTTTGACCGTGCTCCTGAATTTTTTTAATTAGGAGCACAAGCGCTCCTAAAAAGAAAAGTAAGCGTAGAGCCCTGCTCTCTGTTCATGAGCCAATCAATTTCAATAGATGATGTTCCAAGCTACTGATTTTTCTTATCGAATATCCCGTTTCCCTAGAAAAAACATGTGACATTCAGGAAGTTTAATAGGTTGTTAAACAACAATTCACCTTGTCTTTTAAAGTAAACTTTCATTGACGTGCTGTGCATGATGCAGAACTGAATTCCCGTGGCTCTGGTTGTGCAACAAATGTTCTTGTTTTTATGGTTTTCTCAGCAGATTTTAACGTTGCTCGTGCTTTTAAATAGCATTAGCATTGGCGCTTCATTGTTGTCATGCACATGCAGATTGAAGGGCTCTTCATGACGGGCCAGAGAGGAAGTTGTGTCTACAGCAGTGATTGTTGTTGCTGTTGTGTTTGTATGACTGTAGAGCAGCGCCTGTGAAAACCGCTCTGTGTGTCGATTCATGAGCAAACCTTGGGCCGGCCTTTTTGATGCCGTATTGAGGGCCTTTTTCCATTTCAACAGAATGAAAGGACATCGTATAATGACGCTGTTTTCAGGCCAGCCATGAATATAAATGGGTTTTAATGAATGTTAATGTGCTCCTCTCAGTGCTATTGTAGATGATGAGTAATTGTCGGCTGTATTAGCAGTATTTTTATGTCCAAACCTGTGTTAATCTCGCCAACAAAATTAGTCGGGGAAACATTCATTTGTTCATTGAAAAAAACATAACAATGACTAAATAAATTTTAGTCAGTGATTTCTCAAACTGCCAAAGATAGGACAAAAAGCTTTGTTGATAAATAGCAGGTTTTAATTTTTATTCTAGTAATGCTTTACGACATATTCACAACATAATTCAGTATCATAAATGGAGTTTTCACACGTCATATTTTGTCGTTTATGTTTGTGTTATTTTAGTGTCACTGAGGTACTATATAGTTTTTATTAATATTTTGAATCAGGTTTTTTATATTCTCCTTTCATTCTGATTTTAAAGTTTTAGTCATATTTTTGTTGTTGTCATTTTTAGTAGTCTTTGGTTTTATATGTCTTCATTTTTGTGTGTATTTATATTTATTTATATTATATTATAATTTTATTTATTAAATTATAATTTATATTTTATTAAATTAAACTAAATTAAAATGGTAAATGATGACTTGGCAACTAACGTAAATAAGCATTTTTTAATATTTTATTTTAATTTAGTTAACATTTATTTCAAGTAACGAAAACACTTGGTTTTAGTTAACTGTAATAACACTAGTTTAAATCGGTGTTTATTTTTATTTATTTATTTTCAAGATTTCTTAAAAAAATTTTAAATCAGTTAAAGTTTGCGACATTACAGTCGAAACATGAAGATATTTTGTAGAAAAATGAATAAATATGACATTGAAATGACTACATTTAAAGGACATGTTTGCCAAAAGAAAAAAAAAATCTACAATTACAATAAATAAATAAACATAATAAAAGTACTTTACTTTAAAATTATTTTAAAAAGTGTTTAAATGAGCAACACCTACTTCAACAATACCTACTCAAGATCAATTACTAACCGTAAAAAGCTGGTTTCCTGCACCGTGTTCATCTTAGCTGTAAACCAAGCTGTTTTGACCACTATCCTGTATCGCAGTGTTCCTGTCCATGAATTATTAAGGTTCTTGAGGTGCTGATCGTGTTCTCTTTCTCCTCTCTAGTGCCTGAGCTGTGGTGAGGATGAGCAGCAAGCGGAGTTTGTTTGTGCGGCTGGTGCCGTGCCGCTGCCTTCGGGGCGAGGAGGAGCCCGTCACCTCACTGGACTACTCGCATTGCAGCCTGGAGCAGGTCCCCAAAGAGATCTTCAGCTTTGAGAAGACCCTAGAGGAGCTCTACCTCGACGCCAACCAGATCGAGGAGCTGCCCAAAGTACGAGTGCACTCTTGCACCACTAACACGCTTGCATTGCATGTCTCCAAAAAGTTAATTCAATGCTTAGACGGTGAAACGCTGCACTTTATTTTAGCTGGCAAGCAGCACCTCCAGAGCACGTGTTGTTTGTTACTGCCATGCTGTTTACAAGCTAAAGATTTGCTTGCACTGCAGGACTGGGACGTGTGAATTTGGCTATTTTTGCATTTTATGGCATACTGTATAAATGTATTGACATTTTTTTATGCATTTGGTATGAAATGGTTTAAAATCTGTAATATAGTTTTTTTCAATATTATGAAATATTATGTTATAAACTTGCAATTCTGAGAAAGAAATTATAAATGGCAAGATATAAACTTATTTTGAGAGTAAAAAATCAGAATTGTTTTTGACAACATTCTGAGAAAAAAAGGGTAAAATTGAGAGATGCAAAATTATATGATGATTATAAGTCACAGTTCTGAGAAAAAAAAATCAGTTTGTGAACTCCAAATTGTGAAACATAAACTTGCTATTCCGAGAAATAAAGTTAGAATTGTAAGTCAAGAAGCCACAATTACTTTTTTCAGTTTCAGAAATGTGCTTCTATAAAATGTTGTAAGAGGATTCGAAACATTTAATCTAAGAATTGAAATGCTCAGTTTCTTTCACTAGATGGGTACAAATATAATTTAATAATTTCTTCATTTATATGCACCAATATGACAAAACATACTAATAAATAGTAATATTTTGGTAACACTTTACAATAAGGTTCCATTTGTTAACATCAGTAGGTCCCTGTGAGTTCCGCGATGTGGAAAACGCAGACAGAATCTTGGAATCCAGTCATAAAAACTGAATTTACTGTATAATGCGGAATTTCATGAAATTTTTAAAAGTTTGGATGAATTAATCAAAAGTAGGTCATTAAACTTAAATCAAATCGTGATATGGATCTGTACATATTAAGCAGCAAAAAGAATATTTAAATATGAATTAAATCATGTTCTGCGTGTGTGAATGAATGGTGCAGACGCACGGTTTTGTTTACTTCACATACTGAAGCTGGCGTGACGCTCGCTGTGATTTCAGTGTCTGCTGTCTCTCTAAATGAGGACATAAATACATGAACAACATCTCCAGAACTGCTCTGAGAGTCGTTTCATTTGAGAGAAACCATCATCATATCTTATAACTACTATTACTAAAATTATTAAAACTTTATTTTATTAAGGAATAATCTCACAATATTTCTTTTATGTTTTAATTTTAATAGTAACATTGTTTGACAAAAAATAAAGTTTGTTTAATTTTCATGTGATTAAAAGATAAATTAAATTAATATTTTATGCCTTCATTTGGTAACCAGAAAAATGTAAATACAAAACATTTCATAGGGCTATTGTAAAAATAAATGTTAATTAAGTTAATTAAGGTGAGAAAAAATTAAACATTTCGTAGGGCCCTAAACATGTAATTTTTAATAAATTGATGTTAAATTATATAAGTTTCATAATTTTAATTAACTAGACTTGCTTTTTGATTAATAAGATGTTATTTAAGCATTAAAAAAAAGAGTCCAGAGAAATTAAAACAGTAAAAACGGAATTTGGGAAAAATAAAACTGATTTCATAGGGCCCTACATTAGTTAACTACATTAGTTAACCTAAACTAACAATGAAAAATATGTCTAAAGCATTTATTAATCAACCGCGGTCCTAGTGCGGTTCGACTTTTTTTACCGAGAACCGTTCCACCACTAGTATTCACTGTGTTGCTTTATTTATATTGCTAGCAAAATCATACTAACTATATGATGAATATTCTGTATATCATTCAGCCAGAATGGTTACAATGAATGTCTACAAGCAAAGTATTTGCGATCAGGTTTTCTCTACTTGTCGTTTCAACATTTAGTTGAATTTAGAAAGTTTTACAAAAGCCTGATTGTTATACCCTTTCTTTTTTGATCATGAATGGCCTTATGTCACAGACATGTTATTTTCTGTAAAGCGCATTGGGACTAGATCACATGAAGGTCCATCAAAAACCCTATTTTATTAAAATTTACTAATTACTGCAAAATCTATTTGAAATGAATCCAACTGCTCATCAGATATTCATATGAAGTTTAATCTCATTAGCATTTCCATGAATGTTTCCCAAATGTCTCATTTTCCTGTTCTTTACAGCAACTTTTCAACTGCCAGTTGCTCTACCGATTGAGTCTACCGGACAACGACCTGACGGTGCTGCCACCGGGCATCGCGAACCTCATCAATCTCAAGGAGCTCGACGTCAGCAAGAACAGTAAGAAAAGCGGCCAATTCATCTCCTCTTTCTTTTTCCTTTTTGGAGTCCAGTTACGCTATCGGACGACCCATAACTGAAGCGGAGGCACACTGATATCTGCACTGACTCACTGACCCCTTATCCGCTGTAATTCAACTCATCACGGCCAGCTCCACGCTTTGGATTTCAGTTTACGCTGAAATACAAAATTCACCATTAATTTCAGTCTGCACACTTGCCAATCCTAGTAAATAAACATTTTCATGTGTCGTTCATTGGTTTAGAATTGTGTGCAGTATGGTTAGTTATAAGCGCTAGAAATAATGCAAATAAACAAATGGAAGCTAGTTGCCTATCTAGACCGCAGTTCTCTGTGGATTGGAACAGAGCTGTAGGATTTCCCACTCGATTTGATATCCTATACACTGATGACAATCTGAAGTTTGTCACTGGAAACAGTTTATTCCGTTCTGAAGCATGAGTGAAGACCGCAACACTACAAACACATGCTCAAATCTGTTTACACATCACTTCATCTTTCAACTGGTGTGTTGCAGGATCTGATAAAGTAGTGACAGACAGGGACGAGCTCAGCCCAGCACAGGAAGTCTCATTCAGAACATTGTTTTCATGCAATACGCTGTCACATCAAATGAAGCTGCAATTTTTTTTTCTTCAGCAAAATGCCATTTCTGCTTTACCAGAATATCAGATGTTTAAAAAAATAATAATAAAATAAAAAACATTCCATGAGCCACATTTCATTTAATTGGTGAATTGATTACATTTATTTATATAAAAAAAAAAAAATAACAATTTTTTTAGAACAAAATCATTCAGTAGATAAAAGGGTTAATGAGACTAAATAACAATAATAAAAATATTTGCAAGCAGATTATATATGTTTTTAAAAGTTCGGGGTCTGTATTTCAGCTGTATTTATTTGATTAAAAATAAAAAGTATTATTGTGAAAATGATAAAATAAAATACTTAACCTAAACTACCCGTTAAATATGTTAAAAATATAAAGTTTTTTTTTTTTTGTAAAACAAGAAGTCTCTTCTGCTCACCAAGCCTGCATTTATTTGATCAGAAATACTGTAAACATTGTAATATTGTGAAATATTATTACAATATAAAATAACTTTTTTTTTTTGCTTGAATTTATTGTAAAATGTACCGTAATTTATTCCTGTAATCATTACTCCAGTCTTCAGTGTCACATGATCCTTCAGAAATCATTCTGAAATGCTGATTTGCTGCTCAAAAATTGCTGCTTCGTGTTTTTTGTGGAAACCATGATGATGAGCGTTTGATAGATAGAATTAGTTACATTTTTGAAGGTTTGGTAACACAAAAGTCTTCACCGTCAATTTTGATAAGTTTATTACATCCTTGCTGAACCGTATTAATTTCTTTCAAAAAAAAATAAAATAATATATATATATATATATATATATATATATAACAAATTTCACTGACCCCAAATCTTTGAGCGGTAGTGTATACACCACACTCCTTACTGTTAGCTGAAAGATGCAAATCAAATTAACCAAAGCAATCAAAGACAACATGAAAATCAAATGACCCTCCTTTCATTATTAATACACATTCCTCAACATCCTTTCTTTATTTCTGTCAGCTAGTCTGTTTTATACAAGTAAAATGGGTTGTAGCATTTATTTGCTCCAAACCCCTTCTGCAAAGATGTTCATTTGCAGGTTTCCATGACTTTTAATTGATACTCCCTTCCTGACCATAATGTGTCTGTTTTTAGCAGAGCCGCTGAAGGTGGGTCACCTTGTGTGGTGGATGTGAGCTCTCAGAGATGTGTGTGTGTGTGTGTGTGTGTGTGTGTGTGTGTTCTGTGGTTTGCTCTGCGCGCTGGTTTAGTTTGCATCTGAGTGCGCTGGAGGAACGATGTCTTAACATTAACGTCACACTCCAGCTCATGCGGTTAGTAGGACAGGAAGTAAGCAGTCTAGCTCTAATGCTGCTTGAGCTTGTGTTGTTTCTAAAAACAGCGTTAGGTGTTGGGTGTTTTCTTCAGTGGTCGATTTTGATAAAGACCTAGTTGTTCAACTGTTATTACTTGACATTGTATCATGTGTTTTTAAGTGGGGCAAAAATAGTGATAGGGCTTATATGAATTACAGCTTATTTTTATCATATTCAAATTCTGATTCCAGATAATACTTATAGTGCTTAGAAGTACTTATAATACTTCTAATATGCTGATTTAGTGCTTAATTATTATCAATTATTATTTAGGGGTCAAATAAGAAACATTTTGCAACATTATTCATATCTTTACTGTCACATTTAATTAATTTAATGTGTTCTTGCTGAATAACTTACTTGCACCAGACTTTTGACTAGTGCTGTATCATGGTTTCCACAAAAAAAATAATACACAACATGAATACACAAATGTTTTCAACATTGATATTTGGAAATGTTTTTTGAGCAGCAAATATAGATATTAGAATGATTTCTGAAGGATCACGTGACACTGACGACTGGAGTAATTATGCAAAAAATTCAGCTTTGATTCACAGGAGTAAATTACATTTTAAAATATACTCCAATAGAAAACAGTTATTTTAAATTGTAATAATATTGTAATAAAATTTCACAATATTAAAGTTTTTACGGCTTTTTTTATGAAAGAAAAAAGGAAATGCAGGCTTGGTGAGCATGAGAAACTCCTGTCAAAAGGAGTTTTTAAAAAAAAAAAATAATTTATTTATTAATTATTCCAAATTTTTGACAGGTAGTGTAGGTAAAGTACCATCACTTTATTTAATTTTGTTTTATAGACTCAAATGTATAATAGTTGAGATCTGTAAATAGAATTCCTAATAGAATTAGAAATACTATAGCATAAAAATAATTAGAAGAAAATGTATGTTTTTTTAGTTTTTTTTTTTTTTTGTAATTGAACAATGTGTTTGTATATTAATTGTCTGCAGTTAGTCAATATGTTAATGGAACCCAATGCCGTACAGACTCATTTTAAGTGTTTCCTAAACCCTAGGCACAAAGAAGAGAGAAAACATAAAACAAGCAATTAATAAATGAATCGCTTTTGTTTCTTTCAAATTTCAGGCATCCAGGAGTTTCCTGAAAATATCAAGAACTGTAAAGTCCTGACCATCATAGAAGCGAGTGTGAACCCTATATCAAAGTAGGTACATAGCCAGCAGAGATGACTGGTGTGTGCGTTCTGTCTGTGATGTAATAAAACAATCTCGTGTCTCCGCAGACTCCCAGAGGGCTTCACGCAGCTCCTCAGCCTGACCCAGCTCTACCTGAACGACGCCTTCCTAGAGTTCCTGCCGGCCAGCTTCGGCAGGTCAGACACACACACGCTCACACACACACACATGCTCTCACACACGCTCACACACACACTCACACACATGCTCACACACACGCTCACACACACACACACACACACACACACACAGAACAAGATAAGCCAAGCTCCTGTTTCAGATCGGACAGCATCTAGATTAAAGACTGGCCAATGTACTACATTAAACTATAACACAGACAAAACTCTTCTCCCAGAGACTGAAATTGTTTTCCAAGCAAACGCAAAGCAGGTTTAACTTACATCCATCAAGCTTTTTGATTTATGCAAGCTGTTAATCTATTAAAATAACACGTGCAAAATTTCCTCGGAAGGCACCTTCTAATGTTTCCTGGAGCTTGTATCATATCTAAAACCTCAGGAATTGTGCATTCCTATGAAAATGCAGTACAGTTCCTGTGAAAGGTCATGCAGCAGTACTTTTGACATAATAAACATGCACACACAGCCTGAAATAGACTTCAAATGAACATGCAACATCAGTTCCTGTTTTGTGCCGTAAGGTCACCCGAGGACAACAATTTGCATAATTCTACTGAATACGAAAAAGAGGACAGTATATTTATAGCATGTGGCGTAAGTCAATAGACCAGTATTGGGACATTAAATTAGCACCTTTATTGTAGAAAAACATGTCAGTGTTCATTAGCATCTTGCTGTTACATTTATTATCTTAAAAATCATTATTATGTAACGTTTGTGTTGCATTTTAAACCTAAAGTTTGTCGATTTTGAACTGAAATTTCACTAAATATTATTTCCAGTGGAAATAATATACTTTTCAGGCACCTTTGACATATTTTTAATTTAATTTAATTAATTTTAATTTTTTTTTATTTATTTTATTTTGTTTTTGCACCATTTGTTAATCTTAGTTGTTGTCAGTTTATAAATAATTTATATTTATATATTTCTCTCTCTCTTGTTTCCTCAGACTAACCAAACTGCAGATTCTGGAGCTGCGGGAGAACCAGTTAAAGATGTTACCAAAGTAAGTGGCCCTCTGGGATTCATCTGAATTACTAAAATATTAAAAAGATGATCCGTGCCGCTTCGCCCCTTCTGATTATCGCATTATAAATACAGACAAACGTCTCTCTTTCTCTCCCTCGGTGGCATCATATTGTTCAGCCTTACGTAAGAGGCTCTGAAGTGACATGCTGTGACAGGTTTTATAATAATTTCTGGCTCCGTAGCCAATATTGCATCATATGAGGGATCGTTTTTTGGTTTTGTGTGTGAGAGCCACAGAAAAACACCATCTCCGTGCCAGCCTCTGCTCTATCGTTCAAAACACGGGCCAATCAAAACACACAGGCCTCTGGTGTGTTTGTTGGGTTACTGTAAGTGCGCTAGGATCAAAACAACTCATTACGGCACTAAAGGTTTTCAACAAAAGCCACTTGAGCAAAATGTCTGTGTTGCAAAACACATTAAAAACCCTCCATTCCATGGCGCTGTAAACAGATCTTCTTTATGCACCAAGAGCTTGTAACACTTCAAAGAGAAAGGAAAAATTGAAATCGCATCATATGACCCCTTTAAGCGTCATTTATTATGTAGTGCTGTCAAACGATTAATCGCGATTAATCGCATCCAAAATCCAAACCCATGCATGTATATATTTAAGAAAAATTTCTGTAACGTTTGTAAAAATTTTCTGAATGTATACTGTATATGTGTGTGTTTATATATACATAATATATATACACAGTACACACTCATATATTATGTAAACAAAAACTTTTATTTTGGATGCGATTAATCACGATTAATCGTTTGACAGCACTACTATTATGAATGATACCTTAAATTATCTTGCTCATTAGGAAGAGGTGTGCTAAGAAATGTTTCTAAGTGATCAAAAATTCTTGTCACATCGGTAAAAAATATGCATTGTCAATAGTGCAGTGATATATGAAGCACAGCTCACACATAAGTCACTTTTAAACCGAGTAGGTTTCTTTTGGTCAGTGCAGCGAATTCCTTTACATTCAAGTGACGTACATGGACTATTTCAGGAAGCATAGCAGGAAGATGCAAGTATTCTGTGATCAAATGCAGACGGAAAGCTGTCAGTCACATGCGTTGCTTACTCATTTACCATTATTGCGCTGTGCTCTGATAACTTTGTCTCTCTGATTGTTAGCCCTGTGCCGTTTCAGCAGTCCTCTCAGATGTACATTGTGTGGTTGGTTCTCATGATGTGTGTGTCTGTGTTTCTAATGAGCTGTGGATTGCTCAGCACTCTGGGGGTCAGTGAGTTTTTTGGCCGACTGGCTGACTGACTGGTTGCATGCTTCTTCACACAACCCGGGATGAATGAATCTCTCTTACAATCCTCTAAGCCAGCAACCGTTTGCCTTTCAATACAAAATTCACTTTACTAAAAAAGCCTTCGTTTATAACCATTTGTTAATACAATTCCCAGAGCCATATATCATTTCGACTTTGATTTCCTCTTCAAGCTTTTCCACGGATACGATACGCCCACAGGCTGTTGTTCTGTGTCCAGGTCCACGTCAGCAGCAGTTTAAAGCACACCCTGCCCTGAAACACACCTACCTGACTAGATGATGTTAGTTCAGGGTTGACGCAGATATTGAGATTGCAGAAGCAGATTGGAACAGGAGAATGTGTTATAAAGATTGAAAAGATGCACAAAGTCTGAGGCCAGATTTTCAGCATTCTATGAATGAAGCCTATTTAGATACCCCATGATTTGTGAAGCATTCAAGGTGACAGTATAATCTTTGATAGTGGTCTTTTAGTAGTCACCTTTGGGAAAATATATAAAGTTAACAAATACACACTTGCAATAGTAGTCCAATAAAATGTATTATTCAATGGTCTGTCTGAATACTGCATTCTGATTGGCTGGCAGGTATGCAGTAAAAAAAAAAAAAAAGAGAGACTTCTTTTCTGCATCACTGGCATATCATGCTATGTGACTGGATGACATTTTCCTGAAGCACAATGATTTAATGACCATATCATGCAAAATATTGTAGAAATTAGTTCAGCATATCATTTCCAAATCCTGTTCCCATTTCCCCTTCTATCTCTAAAATCTCAAAAAATATCTAAAAATAACACAAAAATGTTCAGTTCAGTGTTTACTGATTTATAATATATTATATTATATATATTATATTATTTTCCCCGCCAGCATTTTTGAAAAAAGTTGCCAGCCACCGCCAGCGATTGATGATTTTTACTCAAATTTAATGGCCTGCAGTATATTTTGCTGTATGAATATTTGAATATGCAATATGCCAAAATAAAGATCAAAGCCTCTACTTTTAAACAAAAAAATCTGTTTTATTCTAGCTTAAAGCATTCTTTTTTTTATCAACACTTGAATATAGGTAGGTTTCATAAAAAATGCATAATTTTGAGCAAAAGGGTGAAAAAATCAAATTTTTATCAAAAACTACATCTGGGTAATATTCAGTACGATTGTCAAAGCATAAATCCAGTAAATCGCTTCCATCAACACCTCCAAAGCTTGCACAGAGATATACCACTTCCTGGATCAACATTTTACATATGCTGTCTATTGCTGATGATCGCATTCTTTTTCATATGCATCTGTTTACATAAGAGATCGCTCGTTTCGAAAATGCATTGACTTAATGTTTTATTGCTATTCATTTATTGCTGCTGAACATCTTTAAACTCCATAGCTTGACCTCTAGGTATAAACATGATCTTGGAGAATATATTTGGGTGTTTTTTTTTTTGGTCACTTTATTATGAGGTTCAATTCTCGCCATTAACAAACCATTAACTACGACTTTTGCTGTTTTTTTTTTTTAGTTATTCAGTTTATATACTGGCTCTGGTTTTATGTTGAACTGGGGATTGAAGTCTAACATTGCTCTAAAACTGCCCAAAAAAAGTAGATTAGCAGTAACTACTTGTTCGATAAATGTCTTTGTGTGCCGTTTATTTGCCTCTGGGAGCCATTGTGCACAAGAAAAGTTGTGGTTGTGACCAGCCTGTCTTGACGTTTTCCTACAAAAAAAAAAAAAACAATGCTCTGATATGTTTATGTACAAAGCTTAAATGTGTTTAATCCATGGTTAATGTTAGTAATACTGTGTGTGTGTGTCTGCAGGAGCATGCATAAGCTCACACAGCTGGAGCGCTTGGATCTGGGCAGTAATGAGTTCACTGAAGTGGTGAGTAGCACCTGCCTGTCTTTCAGCTGTCGCATGCATTACTGCAGCCTGCGTTTACCTTCCAGCTCTCAGTGCAGCCAAGTGTCAGATGTATCGGCAGTGAATGCAGATGCACTCATCGAGTCTTTATCTGTTAGACTGCACCTAATATGCATTTTTCTCCTCTAATGCTATTCATTGGAAGTAGTGGCGGATTTCCTCTCAGTGAGGATGTGAAATTGAATTTTGCTTTCTTTCTCTCCAGCCTGAAGTGTTGGAGCAGCTTACAGGAATCAGAGAGCTGTGGATGGATGGAAATAAGCTGACGTTTTTACCGGGGGTGAGTCTTGCATTCATTCTTAGTGCTTATTTATTTTAAAAAGGCAAAAGTGCACCATGACAAATAATTATTTTTTATTTTTTGCTACAAACTTTTGACCACATTCGTAAAACATTAGTTGAATCTGTATAATGGGTTAAGAAATACATTTTTGGGTAAAAATTATTTGTAAAAAGTATTCCAGCATAAATGTTTGTTCATGTTAAGTGTGCAACTTTACTATACTTTCTAAATTTCTGCATAAATGTTGTATTCATAATTATGTAAAATGCTAAACTGAGTTAATATCTGTATAAATAGTTTGTTAAACCGTTCTTATGAATGTTATTATTTATGCTAAACGGAGCAATTTTGCGGTAAATTGCATTTATTTTTAATCTAAAATTCTAGATGAGGATAATTTTTATACAATATAAATCACTATAATCACTTTCTAAATGGAAATAATTAATGAAACCATTCTTATAAAAATTGTTGCATTCATGTGAATTGATTTAAGTTCTTTTATATGAAAATCGCCCATAAAAACAATTATTGCGCAAATTGTTTCTTTCATGTTTCACGTGTTAAAAGTTAAACTGAGCTAACCGTTCGATAAACTATTTATACAAAAATTTTGTTTGTGTTGAACTTGAAATCCAGCTAATTTTTTGTACATTAAAAATCACCATAAAATCATTATTCCTTGCAACGTTTTGCAACAAAAAATGGCTTTACAAATTATTTATGTAACTTGTTCTGCTCATGTTTTATGATTTGTTATTTTGGTAAAACAACACATTTCTAAATGTAAATCATTAATTAAAGCATTCTTACGAAAATTGTAGCTTTCATGTATGCTAAATGCTAAATTGAGCTCATTTCTACACTAATCTTGTAACATAAGAATAAATAATTTCTATGTTAATCATTTGTATAATCTTTCCTATGTAAATTGTTTGTTTAATTGAAGTTTACCGTGGAATGCTTGCATTTGTCGCATGAGGCTAAATGGTTTTATGAAAGTTTTACACTGAAGATTTTTCTGCTGGTGTTTCAGGAATGAGAAATTCGATTTTTCTACTGTGTAGCTGCGGTTACAGGTACATTAAATAATGGAATTAAGACAAGCAGACATCCATAACAGCTGAAAATCTACTTCCTTAACATTTCTTCAGGATCCCTGAAGTTCTCCTCAGACTGCCAGCTCCTTTTAAATAGGTCATAATTAAGGCATTAGCTTGCCGCTGAGAGCGGACTGACAGTAATTGTGGGCCTCGCTGGCAGGATTCGGATTAGGAGTTTTCAGAACATCCTTTTGAACACGTCTGCTAAAACTGACCTCCAAATGGCCCGGATATCAGGGCGGCACCCTGACCTCCTTCCCTGTCTGACCACAGAGACCAGCTTACTGATGGCATGTCCTTGCACAAGATATGTTTCTCTCTTTGTGCAGAATTAAATTTTTCTCTCGTTATTAGTGCTTTTGATTAAGCTTCTTACGGCCCACCCAGGAGAGCGGCTCTCGCTCGCTGTGATTAGTCAACAGCAGGGTTTGTCACAAAGTCACACACGGGTGCTGATTGCAGTTTAGGAAGATCGCTTCTAATTGGTCGTCACCCAAGTGCATCTGAAGTTCAAGATTCCTGTGTCCTGTGCAGTATTACTCATGTTCCCTTAAAGGGATAGTTCACCCAAAAATGAAAATTCTGTCATTAATTACTCACCCTCATGTCGTTCCAAACCCGTAAGACCTTCGTTCATCTTCAGAACACAAATTAAGATATTTTTGATGGAATCTGAGAGCTCTCTGACCCTCCATAGACAGCAAGTGGATACTCTCCAAAATGGCGCCAGGGTGGCGCGGCGGAGACGAATTGTTGAATGAAGTCGCGATTTTTGTTTTCTTTTGTGCACAAAAAGTAATCTCGTAGCTTCATAAAATTACAGTTGAACCCCTGATGTCACATGGATTATTTTACCGATCTCCTTGCTATGTTTCTGGACCTTGATCGTGTAAGGATCCTTGCTGTCTATGGAGGGTCAGAGAGCTCTCAGATTCCATCAAAAATATCTCAATTTATCTTCCAAAGATGAGCAGAGGTCTTACGTGTTTGGAACGACATGAGGGTGAGTAATTAATGACAGAATTTTAATTTTTGGGTGAACTATCCCTTTAAGCCATCCAAGATGTAGGTGACTTTTAATCTTCAGTAGAACAGTAAAGAAGATTTTTAGCAGGTGATTCATAAAATGCAAGTCAATGTCTACCGGCGCTTGAGAGTCAAAAAAATATATCAGGCAACACAAAATGAATACCCGTGTCTCCTGACGATACATTAAAGGAACACTCCACTATTTTTGAAAATAGGCTCATTTTCCAACTCCCCTAGAGTTAAACAGTTGAGTTTTACCATTTTCGAATCCATTCAGCCGATCTCTGGGTCTGACGGTAGCACTTTTAGCTGCAACTTAGCATAGATCAGGGGTAGGCAAGTTCGGTCCTAGAGCTTTATTCTATATTATATAGAGCATATATATTATTATATATGGTCATTTTTGAGCGAGATGCTAACGGTCTAATCAGATTCAATGATCTATGCCAGGGGTAGGCAAGTTCGGTCCTAGAGAGCCACAGTCCTGCAGAGTTCAGCTCCAACCCTGAAAAAAAAACTCTCATTGCGCCTGCTGCACCCATGGTACGGCAGCAAAGTGCCTTGATATTCCCCCGTTTGTCTGAGGCTCTGGATTACAGGTAATAATGTTATAAATAACGTTCAGTTTCTTGCACAGACCAATGGTTTCACTTCATAAGACCTCAATATATCATCAGGATCAAAGGGTATTCATTTAGTCTTACCTGTATATGCTTTTTTTGACTCAAGTGCAGGTAGCCATTGACTTGCATTTTACGAATCACCATGAAACGCTGTTTCAGCTAAAAATCTTCTTTACTATTCTGCTGAAGAAAAAAAGGCACCTACATCTTGGATGGGTAAGTAAATTAACAGCAAATTTTCATTTTTGGCTGAGCTTTCCCTTTAAAGTGAACATCAAATCAAAACTGACTATATGTAATTTATGAATAAGCTATTTTACTTCTTTATCCTTATCCCTTCTCTAGTGTCTCCAGGTTTGCAATCAATAAAATTGCCTAAAAGCACTGATTTAGAGCTGGACCTGTGCTAGAAATCTGAGCCCCATCCCTGGTACTCTTATCTGGACGGAAAAGTTTGTGGTAACAGCATTGTTGTTGACGATCTCATTACTAGTCTAAATGGATTTCTGAGTGCTCTCAGTCTGTTCTTGGAAAGGAGCTACAGAAGAATGGAGTGTGTTTGAGAACAGGAGGACACGATCTGCCCTCAAGCATGAGAAATGGATTGAGTCAGTTCACGCTCGGCTTCAGTTATCTATCTTGACCGATTTCTCAACCGCATCCCTCCATCTCTTCAATTCACCCATTTCCACTTCTCCAATGCTTCTGTGCATTTTTTCTTTCACAGGAAGCATCTAGCCTCTAAAAACCAATATGTCAGAGTGCTGCCAACAAGTATATGGCTCTGACTTCACCCACCATATTTGACTGAAATTGAGATTTGAAATCAATGAATTTTTGCCAAACTGAATGGTGCCCATCTCTCACTTTTGCTCAATTACACAAACTTCTCTCAGAAACTGATTAGAATTTGAGTCATTTGTTTATGAGTAATGGAGAGAGTCATGTGTGTGCAGATGATCGGGGCACTGAAGCAGCTCTGCTACCTGGACGTGTCCAAAAACAATTTGGAGATGGTTGATGAGCAGATATCTGGCTGTGAAAACCTGCAGGATCTACTGCTGTCCAACAACGCTTTGACGCAGCTGCCAGGGTCTATAGGTAAAACACACACCAAAATGCATAGATGAGCTTAATGATTAGTATTCGTTAAAAGCGATCAGATGTCTTCTGGTTTGTCCTGCATGTTCTCCTAACAGCCTCAACTCTAATCTACTTTGTAACAAATCAACAGGTTAGATGTGTAAAACGAATAGGAGGATTATGGGTAGAGCAGTAATACAATCTCATTACCTAATGAATGACCCAGTCGGACAGCCACTAATGAGCAGGCGTGTTGAAGTGGCCAAGTCACACCGCCCTTGAGGCTCGCTGTGAAATAATACCTCCCAGCTCAACACTTAATGAAATCCAGTTTAGAGCTCAGAGAAAGGGCCACAGAGGTGCTCGACATGAGTTTTTGCCTTTCATTGCTTTCGATTTAGCTATTATCTACCACAGACCAAACTTTGCATGAGAAGTAGCTAGTTTTAAATACCAAGCATCTGTAATCTGACCATCATCTTTAAAGGAATTGTTCACCCAAAAATGAAAATGTACTCACTCTGAAACACAAAAGAAGATATTTTGAAGGATTTTGAAGAACCGAACAGTTATTGGTCCCAATTGACTTCCATAGTAGGGAAAGAAATACGGTAGAAGTCAATGGGGGACCATCAACTGTTTGACTGCCAGCATTTTTCAAAATATCCTCTTTTATGTTCAACATAAGAAAGAAACGACATGAGGGTGACTAAATGTTGACAAAATCTTAAATTTTGGGTGAACTGTTCCTTTAATATGGTGAATCTGACCTGCTTCACCTTTGGTTTTGACAGACTTGACTGTATTGAATAATTAACATCATTAAACCTCATAATTTTGATATTGTATGTGTAATTGTGTAAATTTCATCATGGCCAAAACAATTTTTAATGAATTGTTATTCAACTAATTTTAATTACCAAAAACATAACATTTAGCTGTCTCTTATAATTTTGTATTCAACCCTGTTACTGCATATTTTCACCAAAATAGATAAATAAATAAATTTAAATATGTAAACAAATAAATCATGGCACCCAAGAAGTAACATCACTCTGAACTTTTCTACAGTATTGCCGGAAATAATCTCATTCATTGCAGTGCTGACTGCATTTGTTTAGCTCAACATTTCAACCCTGTAATTTAAAGAAAAATTGATCTTCATATTCATATAACTTAATAAAATATTTCTTTAATTTATGGGAGTCAGTCTACCTCGGACTTCAAACCAACATTTGGTTATGAATTATTTCAAATTTTCAACCCTGTTACCCATACTAATGTGATTTTTAAATTAAATTTAATTTAATTAAATGAATTAAAATTATATAAATAAATAATGATACAGCAAGGTTATCTGTTCAGTAATATTTATTTAATGTGTATGGCTAGAAAATTGCACAGTCGTACCAGTAAAGGTTTTAAACCTAATAAAAGATCCACAATTTTGGTAACAGGGATGCAAAATTCATTTGAAATAGAAACTAATACAGTTCTTACAATACTTGGCCTGCTAAGCTTGACAGTCAATATTTGTTGACAGTTAAGCGTCCCTTTTAACTGACCATATATTGAGAGAGGAAAAGTTTAAGGGAACTTTTGCACCCTATCTGTGGAAAGTGCTGAATATGCCAGTGTTTCGTCTATGAATCCATTTCTAATAAATTCTTCAAGATGTGCGAGATTGATGGTCTCATTGTCTAGATTGAAGTGTATAAATTGCCAATTGCAATACAAACTCTGTCTCTCTCTCTCTCTCTCTGTCTCTCTCTCTCTCTCTCTCACTGTCTGTCTCTTCTCCCACAGGCTCTCTGAAAAGACTGACCACTCTGAAGGTGGATGATAACCAGCTCATGTACCTACCTGACACGATAGGAGGGTAAGTGAGCACCATTTTAAACAGCAACCGAACTGCGCTTAAACCGTGACCCAGTTCTCTTTAACCCATGAGTATGTTCACACTAAATTTGCATACTTTTTCATGTTTTCTGTGCTGATTGTGGTGGAAAATCTGCAGAAATGATCTAAATAATGTAAAATGTGTCAAAGTGAGCTGCAAGCGGTACATGAGAGCTGAAAGCATAGTCAAATAGGACTGTCACAAATTACCTCTCAAAACTCATGATGCATGTCAAGGAATCCCTGAGAAATAATTATCTTGCTAATGTAATATTATGTTAAATAGTCAAGGAAATAATACAGTAGCTTTAAATGAGAACCAGAGCAAAAATTAGTTTGAGAGTGAACGCTGTGAATGAGCAGACCCATAAGCTACTTCATAATACAGACAGAAGGCTTTGTAACGGGTCTGTGAATGAGGGAAGTGCACATCCATATGGGCTCACCGAGAGGGATTGCTTTGCTTTGTGTGTGTGAGAGAGAGAAAGAAAGAAACAGACTGTTATCCATCAAAAAAGAAGCCAACCGTTGTACCTCATTCTCGCCACCTCTTACTTTGAGCTTGTTTCCAAACATGCCGGTTATCCCTTATGTCAGATTAGGTTTCCTAGTCCGGGGTTAAGAAAATATGCCAAGAGGGATTATGGATATGTGATTGCGAGGATTCTGTTTTAATCCTAGCCTGGATTGTAAAGCACACTGATTAAGCATGATTAATTTTTCATTAGTACCAATGTCTTTTCCCATCAACGCTGATATGACTGTATTTTTCCACTGTATAATGACTGTATATAATGAGTAAATATATATCTAATTTTTTTTGTGTTTTGGGAGCAGGCCTCCCCATTTTTTGGGTGAGCCAAACTTCTGTCCATGTGGGGGTTTTTTTGTGGTCGTTTCTTGTTTTTTTTGTTTTTGTTTTTTAATTTGTTTTGTGTTGTTTTTTTGTTTCATGTTTTTGTTTTAGTATTTTTGTTTTTTACTTTTTTTTTTTTTTGATTCTTGTTTCTGTTTGTTTTTTTGTTTTTGTTTGTTTAATATTCTGTTTGTTTCATGTTTCATGTTTTTTGTTCTTTTTTTGTTTGTTTTTGCTTATTTCATGTTTTTGTTTTTGTTCTTTTTGTTATAAGTTATAAAAATTTTATGTTATAAGTTATAAAAGACATTTGATTTTACATGAGCTTTTTGTATCATTTAGATTCTGAAACTGGCATTAAATTCATTTTAGATAAGTGAAGAAACCACAATAATTACTAATCTCTGAAATATGACGCATAACATGATTGATTAACGTCATTAAGTCATAATCAGTTGGATGTAAATGTTATTTTCAGTGTGTTTTCAGTTTAGCAGTGATCAGTGTCTCTTGCTCTGCATCGTCTCCTGATCTCTCTCTCTCTCTCACATTTCTTTTATGCCACGTTTTGGCATTAAAAAAAGTGTTTACTCTGTCAACAATTTATATTGGGGATAAAAAAAAAAAAGGTTTATTTTGGTGTAGGACAGAAAAAGCACTCTAGTGAACACAGACAGCTGGTTTAATTGCCTTCACAATTAGGGGTGCTCCGATCAGGATATTTGAGGCCGATCACAGAGAGCAGTATCTGCCGATACCGATCTTTTTAAAGCCTTCTTTTTATCATTTATAACTATTTATAGTGATACAACATAGACGCGGAAAAGATCTCTGCACAGCTGCAGACGCACCGCTCCTGAACGCACTGCCGGACAGCAACCGTGTGCAGTGTGCACGCTTTATTAATCCGTTAACATGAGCGTGGAAAAAATACGCACCACATTCTCACTGCAAACGGAGTAATGTGAACCTGGCATTATGTGTGTGCGCTGCGAGTGCGAGTGTGCATGAGCGCTCAGTCTCCAGGAGAGCCCGTGAGCACTGAATGGTTAAACACTGGCAAGAATTAAAAAGAACTTTAGTGACGATGTGACACTGCCTCGATTGTGCAAGTGACAGTTCCTGTGTCAACTGTGCCGCGTGCAGCTGCTTATAGACAGACGCGATGTGTGGTGATTTGAAGACATTTGCGTATTTTGAGAGAGAAAGAGAGAGCGCGCACGTGGTGATTCACTCACGCTGTTTGTGAAATTACGTCTCACACAAGGTTTTCAAATGAATTTATAAGTTATTTAATTAAAAAATATGAAGGAGTACCTCACCTTCAGCATTAA